ACTCAAGCCTCTGACAGGCCAAGCTCACCTGTCATAAAGTGTTTCTATGGGAGCAACCTCAGGGGAGGGAGAACGTGAGCCAGGAAGTTCAGATTTCCATTGCCTTGCCAAACCCTATCATCTTTCAAGCTGCAGCTCTCCAGCCTCCTTCCGCATTAGTCTAGTTGTCATTGATTAGCTCCCCTTACTCTGAACTCCTTTAGCACTTAGACTCTTACCACTCAGTTTAAATGCTCTTATTTTGTGCACTAATGTTTGATGTTTTATAAGCCTTATCTTCCCATCCATTTAAGCTTTTGTTTTTTTATGTTAAATCTATCAAGTATTTTTACATTTTTTTAATTAAGTTTTAGAGAAAGACATTGACCTGTTGTTCCATTTATTTATGCATTTATTGGTTGACTCTTAGATGAACCTCAAACTGTGGAATATCGGGTCAATGCTCCAGCCAACTGAGCTACTTGGCCAGGGCTAAGCTTTTGTTTGTTTTAAGAGGAAATCTAGTACGTATTTATCTACTAAATGGGAGGGCCAGAACAACAATTTGAAATTTGATAAGAGGAACACAGGGCCGCTCTGGCAGACAGTGATGGCAGGAGTGTACTGGCTGCATGACTGGTAAGCAAAAGCCACCTTGAGGTGAACAACATTGGTAATAGTTAGAGATTGTCAACAGGTCCCTTTTGACTGTATCTTATTACTTCTGCACTTAGAGTGGCAAATAAACACAGGATAGACACCCTGTTAAATTTGATTTTCAGATACATACAGGAAAATTTTTAGTATAATTATGTCCCAGATAGTGAATGGGACATACCTATACTAAAAAAAATTACATGTTGTTGATCAGAAATTCAAAGTTAACTCTAATTCCTGTTTTTATCTGGCAATTTTATCTCTACTTGCTAATGACTCCAGTTTGGATATAGGGTGTCTCAAGCCCCAACCCTGTTGTCATAGTAGCTAGATATAATGGCTGTCATTTACTGAGAGCATACTTAATGTGCCAATAACAATACCAGGAGCTTTGCATAAAATATTCACAGAAGCCTTGCAAAAACCCTGTGAAATAGGTATAATTCCCTTCAAAGGGAAGGGGTAACAAAATAACCACAACTCCTCCCTTCCTCCAGCCAGAGACTATGCAGTTCCCTCAAGGTCACATGATTAAATACCAAAGAACCAGATTCAGATGTGGGTCTCACTTCAGCATCCCTACTGTATTGCCCACAGGTTAAGTATGAGACACGAAATTTATAATTTCATAAAAGATCTCATTTACACATTCTTTCACGAAGTAGTTTGAGGTACATGTTTTCCAAATTACCTTTTGAACTGTGTAGTAAAAACATCCGAGAGAAATTGTTATTTGTAAAACTAGTTGCTTTCAAATAAATTTTCTTCAGTCTAAATCTTCTGTTTGCCTTCAGTGCCCCCCATAATACACACGTTTTACCCAACCTCAGTATATATACTGCAGTGTCCACAACCTTAGCATTATCACCCAGTTTAGATTTCAATTGTATCTGAAACTATCTTTTGAGCCTTCTGAAATAGACCATTTAGTATTATTTTAGTTTTGGGCCCACGAGAAGTTTAAGGTTTTATATTAGTCTAGATTTGAGGATTTTCTAAACCGAATTCTTTCAGTGTACAAGTACCTTCTTGTTTTAAAGTAAAATTTAGATTTATAAAAGTTTGTGAACATTTTTGTATCTAAAAGATGTTCAAAATTAAAAGTAACAATTCACTGAGTATTGAAATCAAATACCTGTTTCTCTATCAAAATGAAATGTAACATTCCAAAGCTTGTTTTATTTAGTTCAAACCATTGGACAAACCAGTCAGGTGCTCTTTGGAAGTGCCTAAACAGTAACTACTGAACTATAAAAAACAAGAAGCATTTTCTGGCTATTTATAAATATAATTATGTAAATTACTCTAAATATAAAGAGGTACACTAGATTTAAATCATTCAATGTTCTTTGTCATCAAATCTTTGTCATATGATTCCAGAAGAGTGTATAATAATGTGAAGGCAGGAGGTGTATGAACTTGCTTAAAAAAAAAGTTAGCAAGGCAAACCATTTTAGAGACCAATATTGAACACAGATTTGGAAAGCTCCCTTTTAGATCAAAGATAGAAGTTAAAAAATATATAGAAAAAGCAGCTTCCAGAAATATAAGTTCCTCTGATCGTGAAATATAAGGAATTCCATTTACATTAATTTGGTAAGCCTCTTGAGAATTACTTCGGATATTAGCTATACATTGGAAGTGTATTGTTTGCCAAGCAGAAAGACCACACTGGTGGAGATCGCTCTGGGCATTAAATATTAAAGTCATCATCACAATAGAGTGAAATAAGCTGATCAGGTTGGTCGGGTGGGTTTTGGGTTACCCCGAGATGAAAGGCTCACCTCCCACATTCAAGGAACACACAATAAACTAATTTCATTTGAAACAGACACACAGCAAACTGCTGCCACTGGGGACCGGAGACGGGAAGTCCCACCTTTCATCCTGTAAAACTTCCTGGAAAGTTTTGAAAGCATATGTTAGTTTTTTTAGATTCTAAAGCCATCAGAGGAAAGTGAAAGAAATTTTAGTAATTGCCAACTCACTGGTCTCACCTTTGAAGGAAAGGAAGAGAGGAAAGGAGCCAGAGGGTAACTGGCCTCTGCTCACCATGCACTCAGCCAACTGGGTGTAATGAGACCAGCTTCACATCATTCTTTACATCACACACCTGGACCGCAAAGCGGACCCTAACTCCTCAGAGGAAAAAAAGCAAGTAAATCTCGCAGCTCTGCTTTTCTTTGGCTAATGCTCAGAGAGGTAGGTATTCAGTGTTCAAATCCTGTGTAATCACACACACTCAGGGTTTTAAATAGTGTTGGGGAGGGGGAGGAGGTCAGGAGAGTGGGAGTAAGCTTGGTTAGAAGGCTACTCCTGACACACACATACACACACACACACACACACACACGTACATCACCACCATCACCACCACCACCACCAAAGAAGAAAAAAAGTCGTAAGGAGGAACTGTCCCACGTTCTCATTGGGAGAGCCTGCTCCCCAGCTCAGGTTTAACAGGGGGGCAGCCTCTCTAACTTGGGAAGTCAGCTGAGCGTGCTCTATGTTTGCAAGGCCCATTGCTGAAGCCTAGGAGAGAGTGAGGCAGAGACGTTCAGTGGTTGAAACCAAAGGTTATTTTGTTTTTATTATCTTTTCATTACAATGGGCATATTGTGGTGAACTCATTGCTAATTCTGAGAGGTTTGTTTTTGTTTACCTGACTTTATTGAGTTTTAAGGGTTCTGTCTTCCTTCCCCATGATGGGAAGTTTACCCATATGTTCTATGATCACCTGGGGTGCCAACATGGGGATACCTGGGTGCCACCCCTAAGCTATTCTCCCAGAACTTAAAATTTTGCCTGCTGAAGGCAAGTATTAATACAATTCTGGCTTACCTTGAAGAATGTCTGAGCATCACAGGCCTAAACTTTTATCTCAGGTGAGAGTGGTCTTTCTTTTGTAATCACTAAGTAGCATCCTCTTCCCTCCGCCCCCCTCCCAGCCCCACCCTCCAGGGTTCCAGTGCACCAGGATCCTGCCGTGTGCTTTTGAGGGCCTGGTTCTGGCCCTCTGTGTGCGAGCCTCCTTGCTCAGATTTCCCCCTGGAGCGGACTATGGTATTCCCCCTGGGGGAGGGGGGGGCAATGGGAGGCTATTGGACGTGCTGGCATGAGGGGAAGGCCCCTGGAGGAGCAGACTGGAGCCCAGGGTAAGAACAGTGTGACATTTGCACTCCTGGTCTAGGGCTGTAATTGCTAGGGGCGATCCCACCTTCACATGTCAATAAGTATTCTATCTTGGATGAGTGGATTCCTGTGTGCAGAGCAGGAGGGAGTTCAGGGAGGAGCGCGGTTCTCCGGGGACCGGACGCCTTAGTCTGGAAGTGCATTCAACCAGCCCCGGGACGGTCTGCCGGACACTAATGCCATCCCCTACTCTATGTCCGCGGGGCTGGGGTGAGATCTGAGGCTGCAGCTCCAGGTGTTCACACCAGGCTTGTAGAGCCATCCTTCTCCTTTCTCATGAGTGGGCGCAGGGAGTCAGTCCCCTCTCCTCCGTGCCATCACCTCTTCTCCAAACTCCAGGCGCAGAGCGCACAACGCAGACCGGGTTCCAGCAGGCAAACCCCGGGGGGCCGCGCCCAGGGAGGCCTTTGCATTTCCCGACACCTTCCCCGGGGACACCACTCAGGAGCCCCTCTGGGCACCTTCTCGCGGGCAGCGCGGGGGGCCAGGCTCCCCAAAGGCTGTCTGCCCGGGCGCGGCGCCACCCGGCCGGCTGAGGGCGTGGCCGCCAGGCGCCGCCGACAGCGCTCCCTGCTTTTGGAAACGGCCCGGGACAGGTGCCGGGCTGAACTCCAGCTCATCACCCTCCCCCACCCCCCACCCAAAGGAAAGGGGCTCGAGAGATTCCGGCCCGGGAGCCGCTGAGGACTTGCAGGAAGGCTGGAAGCGCCTGGGCGGGGCGATGCAGGGTCCTGCCCTGTTGACAAGCCACCGGGTGGGACTTCAGGCTCCAGCCTCCCCGCCCTCCCGACCCGTTCCCTGCGCGGACCCTCCCTCGGCGCTCGGCGCCTGGGCAGCCCTGGGTGCCTCCAGGAGCGTCCCCTTGGCCAATGCCCGGCCCTTCCCCGCCCCCAACTCTACCCCCAACCCCGACCCCCACCTACGCGGGCTGAGCGCTCGCTCCTCTAGGTCCCGGGGAGCCTCTCCCGCCGCCCCGCGAGCCCCACACACGCCGGGAACTCCCCATTGGCACATTTCAGAGATAAAGAGAAGGCAGCTCCTCTGCCTCCTGCAGCGACTGGGACGCCGGGCTCCCAGCCCCTCCCCGGGAAGGAGCGGGGCGCCCCCAGCGAGCGGCCAGGTGGCGCCCGGAGCGGGGGACCGGCCGCCGCCCCGCGCGCCCCGCCACTTACCTTGCCCCTGGCCAGCAGGTCCATGATGTAGCCAAATTCACTCATCTCCCCCGAGTCAGACATGGCCAGGACCCTTCACAAACTCCGGGAGACCCAGGCAGGTGCATCCAATGTGTGCTTGTTGCCCCGCTTTCTCCGCTTTTCCGTCTGTTTTGCCGAGCGCCCCGCAGGGGGGCTGTGAAGGAGGGGAAATGGGGGAGCGGGGCAAGCAAAGGGGGAACTGGGTGGGGAGAAGGCAGCTCTGGGAGGGCAGCCTCGTGCCGGGCTCCCAGAGAGACGGAGAGACGGACGGTGCAGGGCGAGGTAACGGAACAAACAAGGCGGCCGCGGTGCGATCCACACCGGGCGGAGCCCGCGCCAGGCCCCGCCTCCCGGGGGTCGTGGCCCGCGCCTCCCGCCGGGTCCGGCGCGGCGGAGACAAACACCCGCACAAAAGAGGGACCCAGCCCGACACCCACTGGGTGAGAGTGGTGCTTTATCCGATGCCCGGGAGGGTGGCCGTCCGTCCGGAGCTCCCAGCTGGAGGACCAGGGAAAAAAACCCCATCACACTGTCTGGAGGTGCGAGGGCAGAGAGAATGAATGCAGAGGAGGCACAACAAAGGATCTGGCTGCCAGCGCCGGAAAAACAGAAAAGAAAAAAAAGAAAAAAATAGTGAGAGCCCAGGAAATGGCAACGCCGCATCTCAAGTCAGCCTTCCTGAAATCCAATAGGTAACAAAGACCAAACCCAGCGCTTCTGAGATGAGAACAAACACCAGGATTGTATTTTAAACACGCCAAGTGTGTAAGGTCGATTGTATCTCAATATCCTCTTGATACTCAACCTTCCCTTAATTAAATTAAAAAAAAAAAAAAAAAAAGCATTCCTGCCAGCAAGGTTCCTGGACAAACACTGTCACCCTTACTTAGGCGACTCACTCATTTCCCAGTCATTCATCTCATTGACTGAGTTCAACATTCAGCGCATGTTTCTCACATTTTCACTCCTTTTTAAAATAGCAGCTCCCCTAGGAGGCTGCAGCAGCAAATGGCCTTTCAGCCTTCTCCCTGCTTCATTCATACCTGACAACCTTTGCTTCTCTTGAAAAGAAAACTTGGCCGAACGAAGTCAGTTCTGGCCCATTCCTTCACTCTAGGCAGTCTTACCTTTCTTGAAAAGGTGGAGAGGGATAAGGGCTGAGGTTTCCTACTAAATATATATCTCTTTGAACAATAATGAGATTAGACACACATATAAGATTTACTACAGGGGTGAAGCGATTTCCTTCAGCAGGTTGGCAGAGTTTGCACTGGGCTCAGCATCGGTGGCAGGGTGCAGTGTGGAAATGACCTAATTTACGGGAGCGTAGGATTTTGTAGGCTTGATGAGTCAGGGGTTTTCCTTATTTGCCTCTTCTTCTGGTCATTTACAATTTTTTCCTCTTTGGCCCAGAAGTCTAAAAGTGTGTGTGTGTGTGTGTGTGTGTGTGTGTGTATGTATGTGTATATATATATATATATATATATATATATATATATATATATATTCTTGCACACCTCTTTTTATATGTCCAATAATCACTCCTTGGCTGTTCTACCAGAACTTTGGTCCCCCTCTTCAATGTGTTGCTTTCCTTCTGTGTTAGCTCAGATAGCCTGTTAGAACAAGCAGCAAAAATTAATGTGCTGAGTGTTCATTTGGGGTTGGGGGGGTCATTAGGAGGTCAGACACAATCATAATGCTTTTTGTTTTGAAGCTGCTTCTCCTCAAGTTCTGTAGAACCTTGTGCATGCTCTTTGCTTCCATAAGGAAAACTAATAGAATCCAAGTGAGATCTGTAGCTGAATGGATTCCCCTTTAATATTAGCAATACTTGACAGATTGCTCTAAAAGTGAAATTTTTCATTGGCTCCTGGGCATGATAAAAATCACAGTGTTGGAGCTGAACAACTAGTAAAGACAAAGAAGCATACAAGCCAGATGTTTTCCCTAAAAACTTTCCCCAAACTGCATTCAATGACCCCCACTTACATCTCCCTGGGAGAAATGGGTCACATGTTCACCCTTAGCTGTAAGGAAGGCTAGAAGGTGATTATTTTACTCTGGGAACATTGATTGCTACTCTAAACAAAATCAAGGGTTTGTTATAAGGAAAGGGAGCTATCAGGTAGGTAACTGATAATTTTATCTTCGTGAAATGACTAGGTTTCAATGAAATGGTATCTAACGCTTTCTACTCTTTTTAAAATATATATATTTTTTTTATTGATTTCAGAGAGGATGGGAGAGGGAGATAGAAACATCAATGGTGAGAGAGAATCCACTGCCATCCACTGGGAACCAAGCCTGCAACCTGGGCATGTGTCCTTGACCAGAGTTGAATCTAGGACCCTTCAGTCCTCAGGCCAACTCTCTATCGACTGAGCCAAACCAACCACGGCTTACCCTTCCTCCTCTTACTGCCCTAGGATCCCCTTTACCATAGGGCAACATTAGCTGCCACTCTTTTCTGTCCACTTGATCACATTCTACTAGGACAATGGTCAGCAAACCGAGACTCGCGAGCCACACATGGCTCTTTAGCTCCTTGAGTATGGCTCTTCCACAAAATACCACGTGTAGGCGCACATGTACAGTGTGACTGAAACTTCGCAAAAGTCAGTTTCGGCCTGGGTGAGTCTATTTTGAAGAAGTGGTTCTAACGCAGAGCCACACTCAAAGGGTCAAAGAGCCGCATGTGGCTCTCGAGCCTCGGTTTGCCGACCACGGTACTAGGAAATACTCCAGGCAAAATTATCCTTATCAATTGCTTAGATTTCTACCCAAGACAAGTTGGGGGGATTTGAATGGCTCTTAGAATCAGCTGCTGCAGAGCAGGAAGTAGAACTGCCAGAGCCCAGATTCATGTCCGGAAGTTAGAACCCAGAGAGGGTCCTGAGCATTTCCTCAGGTGCCTGGTGGCATTTACCACTCTTCATTGTTGTCAGTGTGCAAAGAGCACTGAGGAGCAGTAAAGGCCTTTCAAAGATGACAGGCATATAAAATGAAGACCACATTACAATTTCCCCTGAAATTCTTCGCATGGAATTCAAAGACACAGGTAAGACAGTTAGTAGGTGACAAACAAAAGTTGCTTCCTTATTTCTCTTACTTCTAAGAACAAAATAAGATTAATATCGTACGGATTAATGTCAAACTTCATTCCACAAAGGAAACAACATTTTTAGAAGATTAATTCGTATTTCTCAAAAATCATGAAATTAACATAACACAGGCTGTTTCATGAAAGACTTTCTCACCTAAAAGAAAGATTGTTAATAGAGAGATTATGTCATGTGTGAATTTTTCACAATGAGAAGACTAGCAATATATATTTTAAAAAATAAATTTTAATTGATTTTAGAGAGGAAGGTAGAGGAGGAGAAAGAAACATTATTGAGAAAGAATCATTGATTGGCTGCCTCCTGCATGTCCCACACTGGGAACTGAGCCCACACAACCCAGGCATGTGCCCTGATTGGGAGTTAAACTGTGATCTCCTGGTTCATAGGTCAATGCTCAACCACTGCACATTATGTAATAAATGCCACTGCATTGCACACTTAAAAATGGTTTAAAAGGTTTTTTAAAAAATTAGGTGGCTGGGAACCAGACAAGTGGCTTGTCTTAGTTGATTGGAGTGTAGTCCTATACATAAAAAAGATTGTGGATTTGATTCCCTATCCAGGCACACATCTAGGTTTTGGGTTAAATCCCTGGCCTGGGGCATATGGAGGCAATCCATGGATGTCCCTTCCTCTTTCTCTAGAGTCAATAAAAACATATCCTTAGAAAGGCTGGCATAGTTCAGTGATTGAGTGTTGACCTATGAATTAGGAGGTCACAGTTCAATACCCAATCAGGGCCCATGCCAGGTTGCAGTTTTGATCCCCAGTATAAGATGTGCAGGAGGCAGCTGATTAATTATTCTCTCTCATCATTGATGTTCCTATCTCTCTCTCCCTTTCCCTTCCTCTCTGAAAGCAATAAAAATATATTTTAAAAGAAACCACATATCCTCAGATTAAGATTAAAAATAAATTAGGTAGCTGGCCCTTGGGCTGTAATTTGCTCACCCTGGCCTATTATATCATCTGTTTGGGGGTAATACTCCCTGTGTGCTTAAAAAGAATATGTATTCTACTGTTGGATGGAGTGTTCCATGAATACCAGTTAGCTAGAGTTGTTTTTCCATATCTTATGTCTTTGTTCTTCTATTCCTCCTTTATTGTCTTTTTGTGTGTGAAATATTTATTAATATATCTATTTCATTCTTTTGTTGACTTTTAACAAAATTATTATTTTTAAATAGTTACTATAGGGACTAAAATATAACTTTTTTAAATATATTTTATTGATTTTGTACAGAGAGAGAGCGAGTTAGAAACATCGACGAGAGAGAGTCATCGATCAGCTGCCTCCTGCACACCCCCTACTGAGATGTGCCCGCAACCAAGGTACATGCCCTTGACCGGAATCGAACCCGGGACCCTTTAGTCCCCAAGCCGACGCTCTATCCATTGAGCCCAAACCGGTTTTGGCTAAAATATAACTCTTAAGTGATCCCAATCTACTTTAGATTTATATTGATTTAATTCTGCCAAAATGTAGTAGTTCCAGTTCTCCTCCCTCATTGTCATGCATATTACTTCTACCTATGTTATAAATGCAACAATGCAGTGTTATAATTATTGCTTTACACAATCTAACAAAAATGCATTTAAAAAAATAAATTAAGAAAAATATATGTATGGTATTTATTTACTCATAAATTGATCAGTTCTGGTGCTCATCATCTTATTATCTATAATCATTTCCTTTCATGCTGAAGATTTCCTTTAGTATCTCTTATAAGACAATCTGTTAACAATGAATTTCTTCAATCTTTTAATGACTGTAAATTCAAGACAATTGCAATAAAACTCTCGAAGGGATTAAGCAAAAATAAAACTTTATATATCCTATAGAACAAAAGCCTAATATGGTAAGTGTCCTACTGTTCATTAGACCACTAGACCAAGGGCAGATGCTCTGATTTGTAG